CCAAACATCAGCACTGCCGCAACTTTCTCATTATCACACACACAAACTACAAGCAAAATCCATTTTCTGCTACAGCTTTTCTCCCTCTGCCTAGCTCATCTAGTTATTAATCAACACAGCTGCCTGCCAGATATTATTGTTGACCATTGTCAGTCACTCTCACGCTACAGTCTAAAGAACACAGGCCTTCTCAATCATGGTTAAAACTAATCATGCTTGTTTTTGTTTTTTTGTCAGCAGCACAATCTGACATTACCGTGTCTAAACATTCCCCCTTTTCCTTCAGCTCCCTGCCTCAGCTCTCGCATCTGCACCAGCTGAAAATTTCAATAGCTTATGTTGGGTGTGGCTTATAGCTACACACTGCTTATAGCAGTTAAACAGGGGGATGGGAGGCGGACCGTGGTATCTATACATCAGCACTAGCCTGAATATACTCGGCAGCACTGTCTCACATGTAAATGCAGCCTTTGTTTGCTCCTCCCATGTCTATGCTGATGACTGAGCCTGGTTTATTGTTATGGCGTGCAGTAAATTCTGTTGAACTTTGAGCTTCCATCTTGGCAACGACAGGCAGAAAATGTCCGCTGGAAAAACAATGTACTAGCAAAATGAACCAGTACACAAGCAGTTTCAAATCAGTAAAATAGGCAAAGGCAGTACAGGCATCAGGTGTTAGGGATCAATATAAACATGGAAAAATGAGCATCCTCCTAACAATATAGTTTTAATTACGAAGCGATTGAGCTTTGACTCTCAGCTCCAACTTCTTAACAAGATATTTTTCTTGTCTGGAGAGTTCAGATATTTTTTATAGTGCTATCAATAGATCATGTGGCCATAGATGATGTGCGAGATGCAATTAGGCAGCTTGTCAGATATACATGAAGATAAACATTTTATCATAAGATAAACATTTAAAATGCCAACAACATATCATCTTAAAATGAAAAAAAATATTTCTTTCCCTCCAAATCCCTTAGACTTAAGGGGGTCAGGATTTATTAGTGTTTTCCCCCTAAATCAGACTAAGTAAAAGAAGCCACTGTGTTAACATTGCACATCTGCATTTCTGGCCAGTACTTTGTGAAATGTATCAGTTTGCTCTATGGATGCAGAGGAAGTGAATTTTCTTTGTCTTTCTGTGTCCACATTCTATGGTCTGCATTTGCCATTACTATTGCCATATTATTGAACAAAATAAGAAAACATTAACATAAGTAAATGATCAATTGATTTGCTAATTGTTTATTGCAGCCCTATCTCTGGGTTGAATATGCCTAAATCTTAATCAGTATGGTAGTACAATGACAGGGTTTTAATACTGCAGTAGCATATGTCACTTGTTCATCCGGCTCATTAAATTCTGCAGTGGTTTAGGCACGTGTTAAAAAAATACTACATTGCTTTGAGTAGGGTAAGACCTGAAAGCTCCATTTACTGGTTTATTTTAACAAAAGACATGCATTTCAGTGGTTTACAAAACCGTATTAAGGGCTGTGACTACATACCCGATCTTGGCCTTCTGCTTGGGCTTGGAGGAGGGTACAATGCAGGCCTTCCTACAGGCCTTCTCTTTGAGCCGTGCCTTGCCGTTTCCTTTGTGCTCGCGGTCACGGTGGGTCTTGTACTGTGAGGAAGAGCTGGGGAAGCTCTCAGGGCTCATAACTCTGGGGATGTTCTTCTCTCCGCGCTGCCGGGCCTTAGCAATAGCCTCCGATATTATCCTATTGGCCTTCTCCTGCTTGTCCTGTATAATTGCCTCCATCTGATGATGCGTCCTCCGCGGTGTCCTCTTCTCCGATGATGAGCTGGATGAGGATGAAGACGATGAGGAAGAGGAGGAGGACGATGAGCTGCTCTTCATTGGGGGACTGAGGACTCGTACTTGGCTGCCAGGACCATTTGCATTCTTTCGAGGCTAAGGAAAGAGGGACAAAATAAAGAGAATGATTAATAATGACATTTCAAATTATTGATCCTCTTTGAGGCAAATATTTTGAAAATATTACAGACATGATGTCATCTAGATGACACAAACCCAAGCTGCTGTGCTATGTGTATAGAAAGACCCAGTCAGATACAGACACTTGACCTTTAAAACAGAGCTGAGTGACTGAAGCTGATGCTGTACAAAGAAAATCTTTAGCAGATTCTCTCAGAGACAAAAATATCAGACCGAACTCAGTTTATCTGAGAACATTATAGATTATATACATACAACAAATAATGATATTAGAATAAAATGCCATTCATAACTGCTTGCTATGAACAAGGCTATTAAAGCTTATCTAATAGGTGAGCAAACCTTGATTTCCTTTACAGAAAATGGTGCCAACACATTGAGACGTCATTTCACTGTACAATAAGCAGAGGGTGAATGTGATCATCAGAATTAATTGGAGGCTTAGAAGAAAAAAAATACACTGCCAACCACTGCAACCCCTTTATGAAACTACAATATACAATATGCTGCGATGTGATCACTCATTCAGAAAACACAACCTTCTGGAGGCTGTGTGAACCTCAGACAGCAGCGCTCGTTTCTGTTCCCATCTCAGATGCTGGGAAAGGGGGGTGGACCTGTCTCACGATGCTCACATCAACTTTCAGCCTCCTGTGTGACTCTACTAGCAGGCCTTCAGCATTAGAAAAACCGGTGTTTCCCCCATGAATTCATTTAGATCAGGTGCAGAGGACTCTGAAACCACGTGACATGAAACTCTAAGGCCAACTCAATGAAATTCTTCTAGGTGGAGTAAGCTATGCAAAGGTAGGTTAAATGCTGGCTCAATGTAGCAGGTTAGGGTGAGCCTTGCAGGCATAAATAATCCATCCTGGCTGATACATGATAATACGTGAATAATAGATGGTGTGACTGCGGTTATGCCTACACAAGCGCCCTGTGGTGGGCCTTGAGCCCAGTGGAGAGGGAACCCATAAATGGATGACCTAATCTAAAAATGTGTTGCGTATGCCTATATGGTCCAGGCGCGGCCGGCTGCTTTTTTTTTTTTCCTCAGAATGCTAGCTAAATAAAGAGAATTAGCTTAAACCTCGCCAACAAAGTGGGGGGAGGGAGGTGAATAACTAGCGATTCATTTGGAAGGAAGGGGGAAAAAAGCACACACACACACACACGAGCTGCATTATGATTTTCACGTGTGCAACGCTGCTGAGGCTATTAGGAAGAAATTTACTGGATCATGCTGGAATGTTCACATTCAAGTTAATGGTAAAAAAAAAAGAGGGGGAGGGGTTGAAAGTAATTCTTAAGAGCGGAAGAACATGAAAGAAGCAGCAAGAGGAAGGAAAAAAAACTGAATACAGGTTTCTATCAGAGAGAGGGACAGAGAGGGGGAGAAAAGATAAAATGCACCAAAACTGAGAGCACTGCAGCTGTGTAATACATCTATAAATAACTGAAATTACAGCCTGCCAGCACTGCAGTGATTTCAATCTCCCTAACAGCACGTAGTCCCACGGAAAACGGTGAGGACTATTACAGCCCATGAAAAGGTAGAGTAAGCTCCATGTGGGCCGGCCAGCTTTCCCTCACTCTCACCCCCTCATTTCCACATGTAGTGAGCTCTCTGGTGACTGACAGGTTCAACACATGGAGGACGCGAGCGAACACACACACACACACACACACACAGACACACACACAACGTGCACTGTACATAAACTACAGAGAAGGGCAGCCTGAAGAGAGGATTCAAAAGGAGGGCGGTAAAGTGATGTATGGAATAAATAGACAGTGGGGGTGGGGAAAAGAAACACTGTAAAACCAGTGTGCCTTGATAAGATCTAGCACAGCAAAGCAAATGAGTATGGAGGGGAGGAAAATAAAGCAGCAATGAGTTCAAGATGGCGGCAGTGCAGCATGAGCCAGTAGCAGAGGAGGTTGTTCAGTTCCTGCCGGCCCCTCCTCCCCCTCGTCCCTCCTCCCTCCCAGCTCTCAGAGCAGCTCACTTACCCTTCCTCTTGGCCTCTTCACTGTAGACATGGTGTTTTTTTTTTTCTTCCTCTTTCCTCCCCCTCTCCAACCGGCTAACAAAAGCCTTGCCCTTTCGCCGGGTTTTTTCTCTCTCCGTTGCTCACTCACGCTTTCTCTTATAAACACACTCACTCTTTCAACAGTCGTTTTCTCTCACTCTTCCTAAAGCCGTGTGTCCCCCCCTCCCCTCCCTCTCTCCTCGTTTGCCTCCCCTCCTCCTCCCCGGTCAGCTCGTCTCCTCAGGCAGTGCAAGAGCGCTGTAGCCGTTCGTCTCCTCCTCCCCCAGCGGGCAGGGCTCAAGAGGAGCGCATGGGAGCTCTCTCTCTCTCTCTCTCTCTCACCCTCGTTTGTCTCTTCACAGGGTGATGAGGGAGCAGCGCTGTGGGCGGTAGAGGAGGTGCGTGGCAGTCCAGGAAGCTCTCATTCTGCTACTGCGTGCTGCTTTGCCGTCGTCCGGCTTCACCAAAGTCTCCCTCACTCTCTCTCTGTATATGTGTGTCAGAGTTGCCTTCCCCTGCCTCCTCTCTCCTCCCCTCTCATTGATTCCTCTTTCCGCCTGGCTTTCGTGTGCGCTCTCTGTACCTCTCTGAGCTTTTTCCCCACTTATTTCTCGTTCTTTCTTGCTCTTTCCGCTTTGCCGTTCCCCCTTTAGCGCCTCTCCTCGTCTTCAGCCAGGATAAGGTAGGTTACTCCTTTTATTACCACACAAAAAGGCTTTTGTGTTAGCTTGCTTGCTTGTTTGGCCAGTTGTTTTTTCCTCTTTTTCCCCACTTGTCGTTCTCTCGTTCTCCCTTGCTGCCCTCCCCTCTCCCTGGCTGGGGCGTGTATGGCGAGCTCGAGACTCTGGCAGGCAGAGCGGCGGAAAATGAAAGCACAAAGCAGCAAAATGCATCAGCATGAATATTAGAGATGTCGTTAAAACCCAGACTCGTTTTTCTCTCTCTCTCCCTCGCTCTCTCTCTCACTCACTCGCACTCTCACTCTCTCTCTCTTTGTAAGGAAGTAGGCCAGCAGATGGTGCTAGCAGTTATTACATTAACTTTCACAACTTAACCCTCAACGTACTGGATTTCACCCACACCACAGACTGTCAACATTGTAGCTTTTTATGTCCCCATGTAAGTTACTGCCAATGAAGTGCTGATTTATTTATGGAACAGCAATGCACAGCGAGGCTAGATGAACAAATAGATAATCAATTTCCCAAAGGCTAAAAATAGATTTCTGATTCAACTTTGCAGACATTCAGAAATAGAAAATAAGACTTTCTACTCCCTCAACACAACACAACACAACACAACACAACAGAGGGGTGAATTCAAGCACTTCTGAGGTCAAGGCCTGGTCACCCAGCTATTCCAAGAGGGGAAACTGGGATTTATCCAAGACATGCAGCTCTTCCTGTGTGCCAGAAGAGATCTCCGAGTAAGCAAGCCAGCCTTTTGCGGGACTGACAGCATGATGCAGGGGCCATGTGCACCGGCTGGCACATGGTATCAGGAATAACGGCTGGCCTGAAGCCATGTACAGTGCACAGCACTATTGGGCCAGGCCTGAGTTACTGACAGATACCCAATCAGCTTTGAAATCTTTATTTACTGCGCAAAATCAGCTGAACAGGCTTCTTTCCCTGCCAACACCCTGTTCACTTTTCATACAGCTGCACACACTGGCATATGCAAGCTAATTCAGGACCAGTGATGGACACATCTGATTCAAAACATTATACAAACACAATGTGTCAACACACATCACAAGGCAGGTGAGTTACAGGCTGTTGACTTCACCCAGGATCTTCCACACTATCTTAAAAAGCAAATAAAAATCTTCAAAAGCATATATCTTATTTAGTTGACTTATTTCGGTAAATATTAAATGTTCTCCTGAGCCGGACCTCTAGGAAGGAAATTGAAATGTGATTTTTCAAGGTTTTGGGCCTGTTATGTTATGTTTGTTTAACTTATCATATTGTTCCATTCTGATCCTTCTCAGCCCAAAGCAAACTTACGAACACTACTTGTGAGATTATTCAAGTATGGTGTGAAATATGTGGGTGAGCGTGTGCGGGCTACAACACAATATGGCTTTACATTGCATGTTGAACAGATAACCCAAATAAAGTTTTTAGTAATTCCAACTGGAATGGTGTGGACAGCCTTATTCAAAATGTGTATATGTGAGTGCATGTGTGTGTATAGTAAATAGAGGAGGGGAAGGTTATAAAGATACTTTGGATGACCACTGCCGGCACACAGGTATTACAGTGCCACTGGACAGTCTCTCACCACATCTATGTGGTTTGTGTAGCTTTACATGTTATAGCTTTATATCTCATACAGAGATGACTGCCATGTGTGCATAATAATGGCAGATCCACCTGTCAGGCCAGGCCTTGGAGTTTGGACTTTAAAGCAGAGCACATGCTTACCAAGAGCTGAGCAACAGTGTCCTCCCCAAGCTAAACAAATCCACTGTCAGATAATGCCCACAAGGGTACAGAGCCTTGGGGTGACCTTAGACCACCCACACCCACACCTACACACACCCACACACACACACACCCACACCCACACACACACACTAAACGGTGCAATGGGTGTTAAAACTCATAAGCTCCTTTGCACATTTCAAATGAGCAAAAAATAGTCTCTACATAGTCTCTTCTAAAACATCACAGTCAAAATGAAAACAAAAATGTGTCCTTTGTGACTGCATTGGCCATGTGTGTACAGAATTATGCAACCTCTTACGCTTGCAACAACACAGAATGGCCTCTGTACTGTAAAGGTTGTAATATGACCTATGCTCATCATCATCATCATCATCATTATCACCATGATGTCTGACATCTACAATCCCAAAAAAATCCCAACAGCTAAAATACTATTTGATGGGTAAAACAGGCAAGAGGTGACAGAGGCAGTACAATATTTATATTTACTTATTTTAAACACAGAAAGACTTTGTTACCATGAGTGACGATAAAAAAAATAATTCTTCACCGGAATGAAAAAAAAGAGCAAGATAAAGAAAGTGGAAAGGAGAATAACAGCTTAGTCAACAGCATACACATGCTTTAACGGTCACATGGCATGAAGCCATAGCTCCTTGGCAACTAAACGGTTAATATGCAAACAAGCCTGGCTGCTCTGTATTAAGGGGAGTGGCTTCCTTTAAGGACAGACGAGGGAGAGGAAGAGGAGGGGAGGGGAGCAGAGCAGAGGAAGGGGAGGAGAGTAGCAGAGCTGGAGGAAGCAAGTGTGTGTGTGGTGGGTAGAGAGAGAGAGAGAGAGAGAGAGAGAGAGAGAGAGAGAGAGAGAGAGAGAGAGAGAGAGAGAGAGAGAGAGAGAGAGAGACACACACACACACACACACACACACAGGTGTCTGTCTCTGAACACTCCATTTCTTCCTCATCAGAGGGACTGTATTAGTGCGCCACTGCTCTCATTTCTTGCCTGTATCACCGTGAGAGTCTCCACTAACTCACCATTAGGGAAATGAAAGCTGAGAGCTAGCACTGACTAAAAATGACAACATGGCTAGCACCCACTGCTGCTTCAAAGTCTACAGCTAGCTGCTACTGTTATACACAGAGATTATATCCATGACTGGAATAAAATGTGGCAACATTTTTCACGATGCACTGAATGACATAAAAAAAAAAATTATATTTAAGTTTTAATCCACACAAGACCAGCTGACCCTCAGCTCCTGCTGTGCGCTATTATTGACTTTTATCTTACAATTTTTTTTTATAATTTTGTTTTTTAGCTACACCATTTGGTATCTGCAAAACATCAAAATATCTGAAAAATGCAACCAATGTCTTCAGTTTGCTAATTTTCTCTGATCAATGGCCAATAATCCTCAACATTTTTTTGAACAACATCATAACAAGCTGCCCGCTCCTAAAATCACATGACAAAATTGATGACATAAAAAAACGGCCTGATAAAGTATCATCACCTTCCCCTTGAAGCTTTCCCTTTCTTTTCACACTTCCTTGAAAACATTTCTTGGTGTTTACTAAGAAAAGGCTTGGCCTTTAGCATTTCTCACAGAAAACAAAAACATCACAGATCACCATCACCAGATCTCATACCTTGCTTTGTTAATCAAAACATATATCACAGTGTTAAGTCCAGGTGCAATAGAAAAAAAAAAGATTAGGCCCTACTAATTAGGCCAGTTTGCAGCCACACTGGAGTGTGAGGCAGCCGTAGGGTTGATAAATGAAAGGAGACATGATGCAGAGCAATGCCTCCTCAACCAATTAAATACAGCACCACACATTAATGATCCTTTATTCAGGGTCAAGAGTAACAGTAGCTGGGCCGAGCATGGTGCCCTCTAGAGAAGCTGCTGAAAGTCTAACAGAGCATTATTACTACAGTCGGATCTGCTCCACTGTGACCAAACAGCATTACCGAGCCTGATAGAAGAAGTGTTCAAGGAGAAACAGAATAGCACAAGCTCGCAATAAAAAAAAGAGTTGCGTTAAACTGAATTGGCACTGTAATAAAATAATGTTCTTATAATTTATACTTAACATGTGTTATATAAGGATGTGTGTCGTTTGTGAGCAATGTCTGGCCTTATACCCATACAGGAACAAACCTTTGCACCTGGGTGCTCCCCAACATCCACTATCGTTGGCCGATGACAGGCAGCTGGGGGTTACCTACCCTACTGCCATGCTCAAAGGCGCCTCAGCAGTTTTTCAAGAACGTGAGCAGGTACCTCGTTCACTTTCCAACAGGTACTTTCCAGCTGATCAATAAACACATACCAGTGATGCTGTTGTTATGTCTTAGCTACAATAACCAATTCAAAATCAATTATTTTTAATCATTATTATTTCCAAACTAGATGTGTATAATTTAAACTTCCAATTTCAGTTTTGTGTAGGCTTATTGTGGGAAAAAGGACAATTTAAGCTACCCAGCATCCTTTGGAGTGATAAAGAGGCAGCTTTTTGTCTTTCATTTTCTAACAATAATGTGGCTGTGAGTAGGGATTGTTGTTCATATGGACATTGTCCGCCTATTTCAATTTACTATAAACTCAAAACATACAGTATGACACAGACATTGATATTGCAGCAGCCACAACCCCCAGGGTTAACCATGCAATAAGTGTAAAAAGAAGAAGTAAGCAAAGTTCAAGTCTGGCAACTGTATTGACCTTACAATACACAACCCTGCTAGCAGTGTGTGTGTGTGTGTGTGTGTGAATAATTGTGTGTGTGTGTGTGTGTGTGTGTGTGTGTGTGCGCGCGCGTATGTGTCTGTCTGAGATATTTATAGCAAACACACACATAAAGCTCAAAGGACCGTGATCACAGAGACAGACAACAGAAAACAACATGTACACATGCAAACGCATTGTTTCCTTCCCTCCTTCCTTTCGTACACACAGAGAACAGTGTAGACAATTAACTAAACTAACTGGTCCAGCAATAGCGGGGACATGTCTCAGCACTACAGCCCTGCTGCAATCCCAAGCAACTCCAATCCTTCAGGCATTAACAAAGATAGCCTGTTATCTTGTTATTATGCAGTCAGCTAATTTACTTAATAATGATTTATTTAATAAAGTTCAGCACAAGTATTCCTATTACTAATAAAAAGGTTTATGAGCGCAGACAGATCCATCCAAAGTGTTTCAGATACAGTGTGTTGTACCTAGTCATCTGGTTAGGACAGAATTGAACACTAGGGGGTGACTGTGAGGAGAGAGCAGGAACGCATGGTTTTGAGAGAAGACGTCTGCCATCACCTTGTGAGGTGGCGGTCTGAATCACTCCAGTGAAAATACCAGAATGATTTTCTGCATTTGCCTGACATCATAAAAATATAAAAAGGAAGTTAGAAAAGTAAGAAATAATCCACAATCTACATGACAAGATGATATTAATATCAATCAAGCCTAATATCTGTTTTGTGTGCTGGTTTAGTGGCTTCTTCATGATGCTCATTTTCTCACTAACCCCTGTTAAAAAACAGCTGTGACTTGGGTTTGACGGTTGTGCAGAATACAGAGTATAGCCAAAGTCTGGCTCTGCGTCAATCAGGCCCAATGACTGAGAAGAGCCGACAGTGATTCTAACTAGGGCATCTGCCCCTCTTGCATCTTTAAGTGTCAGCTCAGAGGGCAGTCGCTGAGCAAGATTTAAGATTATATTTTAAGGGCTTGTGCTGTGTGCAAGCACTAGTGAGCATGAGACAAAGTAAAAGCAAGAGGCCATCCATCCGCAGAGGGACACCCTTCATAATAAGTAGCCAACTCCCTAATTTTACATGCCATGCCTTTTTGAAATCTTTCCTATTCAAACAGTTCACCACTCTAAATGCAGGTCTCTCTTGTTAAATAAAATATTGGCCAAACCGATGGAAATTAGATCCATGTTGTAATAAACCGGAATTTAAACTACATACGGGGTCACCCCATTCAAAAATCTAATCAAAAGATAACTTATTTATAACAGTATGTGATTATTCCCTAGAAATTAGACTCTTCTGCCACTAACATGGAAAACAGCACAGATGGCCTCCAAAGAAGTCACAATTTCACAGGTGCTTTATGATTCATCTACCCCAGAGGAATTAAATGTGTTTTGCATATTGATAGGTTCTTGTGTACAGTACGTTACAAACAAAATTGTGAACCTTCTTCTTTAAGGCTGTTTTTTTTTAAAGACTGCGGTTGTTCTGAGTAATGACACGGTGCTCTCTGAATCAGAGATGGCACAGCAGGACAGACACCAGGCAGTAAAGTAAAGCTGAACTGTGCAAAACATGGAAGCCGGATGCTGCCATTCATTAATGGGAACTTTGGTTCAAACTGAAGAGTGGAGCTGAGGGGAGGTCCCTTAGGATGCAAAAGAGAGAGGGCCAGACAGAGACCAAAAGCGAGGGGAGGAAAGGGGGAGGGATGAGGTGGAGGGGAATTTAGCAAGGGCTTACTGCCAGACCTTTACAAACTCCTTCATTATTGAAGCAGTGCAAAGTGAGAGCAGGGCTAAAGCCTGCGTCAAAAGGAACACACACAGAGGCAACTACGTACATCTGCACACAAGCAAGACAGAGCCGGTGCGTAATCGACCTGCAGCCTTCAGGATATGATGAAGTAAGG